AAAAAAAAAAAACATTTAAAAATGTAATTAATAAGTTACAATCAATAGACCGAGTTTTTTTAAAGAGAGAATCATTCTATATTTCTTTTCTTTATAAAAAATCAGTATTATATCTAATAATAGGACAAAATATAATATTAATTGAAATAATAAATAAATGCTAAAATATGGTTTAAAATATTAAAAAATAACGGCAAAAATGAACTTAAATAATCCTTAAGGAAGTCGAGACTCACTGGTTGGGAACCAGGAACTTGATCAAACATACTTGGAAACTGTAATTTTAATTTTTAGGATGTGTTTGAGTAATTTAAAGGAATTCGAGTTGCTCGATTAGACTTGTCCGCGTTTCCTCGTTTGTGTTAATAGGAAGTAACTAACTAGTGGTCATTGGCCCAAGAGTTACTGGTTTAGGTAAATTACGAGCTACTGCCACCAACATGAATAGTTGCTGATTTAAGTACTAGTCGTGTTTAATGAAATTTCATTTTTGTCATTGAATAAATGTTCAATTTATCGAAATATGTGATAAATATAATAATAATAATAATAATAATAAAATAAAATATCGGAAGTCTGAAAGGATCATTCCACGTGAAAGATAACTTTCAACGTTTTACCAATGAATTAATATTATAAATAAATAAAAACAGTTAACATTTTTCACGTTTTACAACGGTGCCACGCTCGATCGATCTCGTATAATGAAAAATTATTATCGGCAATCGCATAATTCGTGTCGCTGCATCGGCATAAATAAAAGGCAGGCGTGTGGAATAACCAGAGAGACGAATAACCTCTTCCGACTATTGCTCGTATAAATTGCAATTCGTGTGCTCTCCTCTTCGTCCTCCTCCTACCTTCTTTTTTTCATCTCTTTTCCGTTTTCTCCTCGGTCCAGACCTTTGTCAGTCGGTACCATGCAACTCGAAATGCATAAATAAATCGAGGAGGATTCACGGACGACAGCAGATACGAGCGACCAAATCCGCTTAAATTCGAAAATTAAAAGTATCAAGATATTTGTTTTACTCGATGAGCAAGATTATCATATTTTAATTGAACATATTTTTTTTAAAATGAAATTGTTTCGGGAAACTAAAAAATACTTGATCTTGATTTTTCACAATAATATAATTTTTAAAAATTATTTTCTTATATATTATTTGTTACTAATATAAACTATATAAATTATGAAAAATGTGGATACTTTTTTTTATTATCTTCATATTTTTTGAGAATTGAAAAAAAGAATTCATTTCTTCTTAAATTATTGATAATGTATATAAAATATTGATATTGTATATAATAATTCATCTTAATATTTAGCTATAATTTTCATTTTCTTCTCAAGGAACAAAAAGAAAAGCATATCAAAGATGATACAACGGAAACGAGTCCAATATTATAGAAAAAAGTTTAGAGGAAGGAAAGACACGATTGCAAGCTCGGATTTTTTTCAAGGACGTTGCAAGTCGAACGATACTGGTGTGTTTCGATCTTCAAGAGATAGGTACTTACGTACATACGTACAATAATTCCCTATATCCAAGTTATGCATGCGGTTTACCTTGTGACATCTCTTGGCTGCAGCCACGCGCCTTTCTAATGCGAATCTCGAACACGACGTAACTGCCTCGACTTATCTATCTACAGGGTGTTCCAAACGTAACCTTTCAAATTTTTCGTGATAAATTTATCATTTCTTATCATATTATAATCTGACATTTATTAAATATGTTAACCTCTTTAAAATGAAAAATTAATTTGTATTTATTCTGAATTTTGTTTTTTTTATAGATTTGTTGATTAGATAGATGTGTTGTATTATATCTTTGAGGTTAGAAATTGTAGAGTTTGAACATGTAATTAAAATTACTAATAATAATATATTAATTTATGGTAAGGATAAATTATTTTTTTATACTTTGAGTTATCTATTAAAAGATTATGATTTATTAATCGATTTTAATATTTCCTTAATATGATATTTATTAATTAAGATTGATAAATTATAGGTTAAATTATAGGTTAAATTTTATATTTCCTACAATAAGATGACTTAATTTATAAAATTTCTTTTGTTACTATTATAAAAAGAATTTATTGGTATTAATTACTTGAAATATATCACTTGTAAAATATTAGCATAGCAATATTAACATGTATCTACTATTTTTGCACGAAGATAATATTAATTTATTATAATAATAACTTTTCTTTTATATTATTTTATAAATAATTTTATATTATAATAGAGATCTATCTAACTGCTATTACTATAAGTTTAATACTCCATAAATTTCACTTTCACAAATTATCAGATAATCTATAGTTCATAGCTTATATTATAAGCTTAATATAAATTTATAAATTATCTTTAATTAAGTCAAAAAAAAAGGCATCTCTATCTTATTTATCTTTTTGTTAATAAAAGAACACCAACGTAAAAAATTATGATCTTTACTCATGGAAAATTAACATATTCAAATGTTCTCTCACACATGTCGATAAGTGAAACACGGAAATCTTAGATTAGAAAAAAATCTCTCAAAAGAAATATAAAGAAACTGAATGATATATATTTTTTTTCTCGATATAACAAAATCGGAGAATGATCTAAATACAGATTTTTGTACTTCATGAAACTAATGCTAATTGCAGAATTATTCAAGGATTCGAATCACACAACAGTTTGAAAGCAGAGACTTTGGTGCTGGCTTTCACTCTCGTTTGGTGAAACTTCTTTATAGAATGCTAATGAGATGTTAGAATTGAAATATTCTTCATTGATATTGAAATATATTAACATTTTAAATCTACTGATAATTCTCAATTATATTATAACAATTATCATATAAGAAAATATTTAGATATCTATTTTTCTCTCACATATGAAAAAAATAAGATTAAAACTATCCTTAATTCTATTTAGAATTCTGACAATGTATATTTTTTAATACTATATATTATTGCAGAAAATTATTTCTAAATTAAATCTAAATAATTTTAACCAATTAATTAAAAAAATAAATATTTTCCATACACTTTTTGACTTTAAAACAATTAAATATTAAACAAAATTACATAAATTTTTCGATTATTTTTATCATTTCTATCATTAAATATACAGTCAAGAAAAATAATTAACTTAAAAGAACAACAGTATGCATCCTAATCGATCATAAAAGCCTTTTAAATTCTTTCCACTTCAACCCATTCATCGCGTGAAAGTGAAATAAGCAAATAAAGAAAAGAAAAAGTTATTTCTCGAACACCAGATAGGTGTATACCCACGTAGTTACGTGGGATTAGAGACACGTGGGCGTGCAAGGTATCTCGGAAGCGTATTAGAAACGTCACCTAGGTAAGAGCAGAGGCTCATTAACCTGTGTGCACCACACAGTTGGCCAGGTGGGACGATATGCGGTAATTAGAAAAATAACACGATCACATGCATCAAGTATGAACGCATATGTTTCGACATATTGTATCAATCCTCTCTTTTTTTTTTTTTTCCTGTGATCCTATGAACTCTTGCCAGATGCCAGAGAAAATTTAAAATATGAAACGATAGAAAATGTTAATATTTCCATAAGGCAAAAATTGGGATAAATATTATTCGAAATAAGTTGAAGCAATCATCAATCCGTTTTTTTTTTTCATCCTATGAACTTTTAGGAAATGTCAGAGAAAATGTGAAATGATAGAAAATTTAAATATTTCCATAAGATAAAACAAATAGATATAAACAAAATTGAAATATTTTTATAAGCAAATATTATTTGAGAATATTGTTTTATTTAATATTTTACTGTTTACTATTTATTGATTTTGATACAAATAAAATATTTATTTTCCATTTAAATGAAACCCAATTCAATAACTGAAAATGATTATATACTTACTATTTTTCATTTTTTTATTCCTTGCACAGGAAAATAGATAGAATTTTTATATATGTTATTAAAAAATGATTTGATTTTAATATTTATATTTAAAATACTAACTTCTTTATTAAAAAGTTAAATTAAAAGTACAATTTAAAGGGAAAATTCATTTATAAAATCTCGAAGAAATAAAAATGTTTATTTCTATTCACTTATTTCAGAGATCTATTTTTCTTACAGTCTTGTTTTTTGAAACTTATTCACTTCTTGCGTAATATTGTGTATATTTTTAAATAAAAAAAAAAAAAAAAAAAAAAAAAAACGCAATACCGTGTCAAGTTATAAAAGACTTTTCATTGAGAGACCGATTCTTTTTCTAGAAAACTATTCAAGTGGGCGTCACTAGCTATTCACTTTTATAACATCCTATGAGAAATATTATATTTTATATATAGAATAATTCTCATTGGTATTGAAGTTAAGAAGCTAGAGTTGAAATTAAATGAAATATTTATGCAAATCTATCTGTGTTCATTGAATCGAAACTATAAACTTTAATCGCGTAACTTCATAAAATAAAATAAGATGTTAACAATATGCGAAACGAATGGATATCCTATTGAAATGGATTTGAAAGGTGTTAAATTGAAATTTCATTTGTTCGTGAGGATATTTAAATTTTGTAAAAGTATTTGTTAATAAATTACAGACATTAAATGAATATTAAAATAATAATCAAAATATATTTTCATTTAATTATTTGAAGCAAATAAAAAAAATTAATAAAATAATATTATGCTAAATATTTATGTAATTTTTCGTGCAAATAATTTTTTAAAAATCGAATTAAATTATACAAATATAAAATAAGAAATTTATCATATACTAATACGAATAATAAGAGACCTAGACTTTTCCTTATATCTCAAAATCAATGAACCATTCCCCTCATCATGATGGATGACAAGCAAGATAAATTATATCATAATACCTAACATCGATCACCTTATTTAGCACACAGCATTAAACTACGAATGACACAAATTTTATATCAACTAATTACAAGAGACTTTACATCGATATAAATTAGCAATTTTATCAAACGAGACTTTACCCCCTCTTTTTCGATAAACAATTTATCGATCAATTAAAAACAAAAAAATATATTTGATATATCAAAGAACTAAATTCCACAATTAAAATCGTTAATCGATCCATCGTGCACAAATACAAGGATCAAATACAGGCAATTTAGTTTCTTCATCACGGATGAGAAAAGATTTTATAGAATTTTTTAACTTTAGACGAGCTAAGCGAACGGATCTCATCGTTCAACGCATCTAACAATCTTATTCTTGCTTCGTTTTCCTTCTATTTCCTGAACAATTTATTCTCTTGTATTCCCTGGACACAATCCACGTTCCTTTAACTTTAAAAACGTTTTCAAAATTCTTCGCGCAAGGGACGTCTTTTTTAGTGGACCAACCTCCGAGTTTTCCTGAGTCAAGTTAATTCAATTTACTTGACTCGTCTTGCGAATTTGACTTTACTATTTTTCGTTATTTATTTTCGAATATTATTGCGTAATATTCTATGTAAAAGTGCTAATATATTTTAGAATACAAAATTATCAAGGAAATTATTAGTTTTGAACGGTACTTTTGACCATTTAATGGAGTTACTTGCGTTGAGAATAAAAATTACTAGATAATTTACTTTTAATGCGATATGCGAAAAATATTCATTTCATTCAAACGCGGATATATTTGAGAATAAATCATTGGAAATAATATCTTTCATATGTTGTCTGGACACTATGTTTTGAGAGTGAAATTTATCGTCCAACAGTCTATGAATTATTATTCATTACACAAAAAGTAATTCTCAACCAGCATAGTTATTTATTTCCATTTACATATGGATATATTTGACGATAAAATTCTCGAGAATTCATCTAAAAAATTATTTTGAAATTAATTATCCAACAATAATTTTCACTTTCACAATGTCTACTAAGCAAAGCAATTCTCGAGAGTAATTATTAAAAATTTCTAAATCGTTACACGGAATTATATTTTTTTACTACATTTAACATCTTCTCTAATAATTAAACAACTATTTGTATAATAATAATTGAGAAAAGCTCATCAATATCGAATTCGCCATTCTCAAAATTACGTACTAACAAAAATAGGAATTTTAGTTATGACATTGCGTATTCTAGTACAAAGCCTGCTTGGAAGAACATTGTTTTCATTAATAAAAGGTTAAAATTAAGCCAGACCACTGAGATGACTTCGGATTAATTCCAAAATAAAGCTGCAAAATGGGTCATAAAAGGGAGGCAGTTTGTCAAAGACTGGCCAACGAGAGAATTTATTCAAGAGAATGCATACAATCTAGTTTGGCCATGCATCAACTCAATGCTAGCCTGATTAATTGTTCTAAACTGTTAGGGACCACTAGAATTCGTCGAGGACGCTTGTTTTAGGAACAGTTTGAGATCAACCTTGTAAGATCTCAACAAGTAACCAGTAATAACTATAATAATCACATTATAAACCTCTACAAATCCAAATATAAATGTTTGTTATTTATTTTATATATATACTTTATTTGTAATTCAATTCTTCTTTTATAAATTAGGATTCATAAATTGAAATTTATAAATTGAATTTTTATTGTACTATCTTTACAATTTGAAGTAATTATATATTGATAATTCTTAAATGTTCTATGTTCATGTTAGTGAGAGAATCTATATACAAATATAAATAAAAAATATCATATGGAGAATTCAAGAAGAGTCTAATTAGTGTAAGTCATATTCTGTGAACATAATTCAAGA